AGGCTACATATTCCCCACTCCTAAACTACAGACCAACTTGGGCTGGCAGCATCCCATTTCTAACAAGGGCCAGATTGTTCTAACACCTTAAGCATGTGCCAGACCTCCATCACGAACACTAAAATGCTATCTCAGTAGGAAGAAAGCACTGAATAACAATCTAGTGAATCATTACAACACACACACACACTTTAAGCCAGGCACAGCACATGGGGTGTCTCTCTGTGAGAGAGAACGCTGCAATAAATATAAAATTTAGTACCAATAGGGATAATGCTCCCATCTGTTTTTCAACAGCAAAATAAAGCAGAAAAGGAGTATGTCTAATTGCAACCTCGATAGAAGCAAACTAATATCCTGGCCTACAGTGTTGCCAAAGCAAATGTTATGCAAAGGTCAGCTTGGAAGAATGTCAGCATCTCAGTTAATCAGAGCCACACCAGGAGTGGGAAGGGCTTCTTCATGCTGCAATACAAAGAAAAGCTGTCTGGCTTGATGGCAAGAGACCGTAGACAGACAGCTGCTTGATTTTTGTGTGTGTTGCACCAGTGTTTCTCTCGGTGGGTGGCAACAAAGGACACAAATGTATACTGGAGACCACCAAGTTAAGGTAGGTTTAGAAACCTTTACCTCAGCAAGGTAAAGCAAGAAACATTTTCAACTGGTAAGTGAAGAGCTAAACAAATACTGCACTGCAAAAGAGGGACTGGCTACTGCATTTCATTTCAGAAGTCTTTCCTTTTACAAGGACATCAGGCTGAACCCCGATCCTTACCCACCACATCTCTAAAACAGTTTCATCAGCTGGAAACCAAGATAAATGAAAGCAAACAGGGGATTTCACAGAGCACATTGCCCAACAATGGAGGAAAATGATGAAATTTCCATAGCAACATCAAATACGTTTGCAAACTGCACTCAAGTGACTCAGATGACTCAACATTTTGGAGTAGACCCGTCTGTCAGCTTTGAAAGAAATAATCATTTGCATGTGTCCTGCACCTAAGCTTCTCATGCTGACAATAATCCATTCACATCTCTATTTGCCAAAACAGAAAGAGAGAGAGAGGAAAGAAAGAAAGAAAGAAAGAAAGAAAGAAAGAAAGAAAGAAAGAAAGAAAGAAAGAAAGAAAGAAAGAAAGAAAGAAAGACCTAGAAAGAAAGAAAGAAAGAAAGAAAGAAAGAAAGAAAGAAAGAAAGAAAGAAAGAAAGAAAGAAAGAAAGAAAGGAAGGCCTTGAAGATACAGCACTGGACATGAATTCAGCAGATCTGTGCAACTGATGGGCAACATTCACAGACTATAAATTAAATACCAGTCAAATGACACTCTGTTCTTTCTGCTCTTTATCTCTGTCCCCTTCTCTCCGTTTTCTGTCTGTGTATTTTGGGCTGCTGGCACAAAAAAGATATAAATCCACATGCTTTGTCATGGTCAGAGACTACAATTTCTCCTAAGAGATATGTGACTCTTTCTATAAAAGAAAGTCCCTCACCACGTGTTTTGTATTCTGGACTATGGAAATTGTGAGTCACCTTGAGCTTACAGGAGACAGAAAATGAATTACATGTGTATGGGTGTGTTTATTTCTTTGTTGTTGTTGTTTAGTCATGTCTGACTCTTCATGACCCCATGGACCAGAGCACGCCAGGCCCTCCTGTCTTCCACTGCCTCCTGGAGTTGGGTCAAATTCATGTCGGTAGCTTCGGTGGTACTGTCCAGCCATCTCATCCTCTGTTGTCCCCTTCTCCTCTTGCCTTCACACTTTCCTAACATCAAGGTCTTTTCCAAGGAGTCTTCTCTTCTCATGCGATGGCCAAAGTATTGGAGCCTCAGCTTCAGGATCTGTCCTTCCATATTTCTTATATAACACCAACTCCGCATCTGAAATATGTTCATGGGGCATGCTAGTACTATGGTTTTCTGACTTTACTATATGCATTTTCATACTAGAAGTTATCATGGATCCTAAGGGCTATTTGGAATTTTTTTTTAATTTGTTATATTTCGGTATCAAATTAAAACAGAGAATCCAAAATTAACCCAGTTCAGAAGACTTCTATATTCCTGTAGAATTTTCTAAATCCAAAAGGGCATGAGCCATCAGTGAGATGTGGCAGCAAAAGCTAATCCAAGATTAGGCTAGACCAACTGGGTCCAGATCAAAGTGTGCAACAGTCACGGTCCATTCTGCTTTGGTCAGATCTCAATTGGAATACTGTGTCCAAAAGGATATTGACAAGCTGGAATGTGCCCAGAAGAGGGCAACGAAAATGGCAGAGGCTCTGGAAACCAAGCTGTGAGAGAAAGACTTCGAGTCAGCAGGATACATTTGGCCTGGAAAAGACTGAGAAGTGATAAGATAGCCACCTTCAAATATTGAAGGGCTCTTATGTGGAACAGGGAGCTAAGCTTTTTATGTCTCCAGTGGATAAGATGCCAACGAATAGATTGAAATTACAAGCAAGAAAACTTTGACTAAAACATTATGAAGAACTTCCCATGAGCAAGAGCTGTTTAGCCAGAGAATGGACAACCTTGGAAGGCGAAGAGCTCTCCCTTCATGGATGTGTTAGCTAGTCTCAAATTTATGGGAGAGGAAACTCTGCAAAATTGATTTATGAACTCTGTGTAATGGTACAGCATATAGAGATCATATTTTCCTACGTGCTGTATATGATATCAGACTGACACAATTCTTGATGAGGTATGACAAAGGTTGAGAAGAGATGAAATCAGCAGCAGGACAGTAGAAATTGGTTGTTGTGGGTTTTTCGGGCTCTTTGGCTGTTGTTCTTCTTAATGTTTCGCCAGTCTCTGTGGCCGGTATCTTCAGAGGATAGGAGTAGCACTCTGTGCTAGAAATTGCTGGCAAAGTAGAAATTGCTGGCAAAAAAGGGTACAGTTACATATATTTTCAGACAAAAGAAAAGATCAATCAGGGAAAAGACTGTCGGTTATGTTTTAAATTAGTACGAAACACAAATTTTGATTTCAATATGATTTTCATGTATGCATATATATTCAGACGGAGAAGATGACAGATTAAGCTATCTCTATTAAAAATCTGCTCAGGTGATGTATCTTAAAGGCATATAAAATGAGTTAAGATTACGATGATGCTCAAAACAGTGGGTTATATCCAAACAAGTTACAAACAGAAAGCTGCTTGCATATGACTCGCTCCCATCCCATCAGCATCAAAAAGGCTCTCTAGAGTGCTGGAGGCCTTACAAACAGAATGAGCTGTTTTGTGGTAATGTAGGCATCAAAGATCCCCAGTGTGGGGTAATGGGTAGAGTGATGGACTAAGATGCTGGAGAACAGAGTTCAAATCCCTCCTCAGCTATAGAAACTGACTGAGGGAGTGGTCGACGAAATGACTAGATAGGCGGGGTAGAAATACAATCGGGGGAGTGGAAGTTGTAAAACCATTCCTTAAATATTTCACTTACTTTGAAAGACCTATTAGAGTCGCTAGACGTTGGTTCTGAATTGATGGCACAGAACAAATCCCTCCTCAGCTATAGAAACTGACTGAGGGAGTGGTCGACGAAATGACTAGATAGGCGGGGGAGAAATACAATAAATAAAATAAATAAATAAACTTGTAAAACCATTCCTTAAATATTTCATTTACTTTGAAAGACCTATTAGAGTCGCTATACGTTGGTTCTGAATTGATGGCACAGAACACACACACAAACACAGGGACTGAAAATCAATAAACACTAACATGCACAACTGTTTTGTTCTTTCTTTAGGTAGCGAGAAACTCTAGTGGTTAAGAACCATTCTACATAAAAATATGCACCTTCCAAAGAGGTTCACATTATGTCTCCATCTAATTTCACTACAGATAACCAATGTCTGAAAGTCTTCAGGCCAGTCTTCTGTGTTTTAAAACAGCCAGAATCCTATTATTTATGCCTGCCTGTGTGGTTCAATTGATGTACATCTTGGTGGCAAATTGCCACCCATTAAGAAGTCAGCATAGGCATTTGCTGTAGTGTTACTTTTCAACTTGTCACAATTCACTGCTGAGATCTACAGTTATTGTGTTATGCCAACATAAAAACCTAACAGGATTCTTGCCAAGGTTTTATAAAGCACTGAGCATCTTCATGACACTTGAGAGTAATTGCTCTCAAAGAAATAATTGATTACAGAACATTGCTATCTTCTTCTTCTTTAGATCTTAATTCAAGTAGTTAAGGCAGACACCTCTCTGTTAAACAGATATGCCTTTAGGAAACAGAACTGTTGCTAGTGAGCTATCTGTGAGTGCACCTTTCATTTTCTGTACGGGTGGTCTCCTGCTAAACAGGTTAATATGTCTTCTTTCCCAAACCTTCTCAATGTTTCTGTTCTTAACAAGAAAACTTGCTCAGGAATACTTTACTGTTACAACCCTGGTTATAGAAAAAAGCCATTTGATGCTAGCTAGGCTCTGATCTTTTATTTTTCAGCACTGAGATAAAACAAAATGGACAATTAGAGGTTCCTCTGCTCCTTCTGCACAGAATCCTAACACCCAAAATGAATACTATGTATTTTGTAATCCAGGGACAGGCAGTTTCTGAAGGCTTTGGGCCAAATTCAAGATAGCATGGGCTGCAATAGGTCCCAAAATGACCATTAAAAAAAAAAAACAAGCAAGACATGTCCGGACAGGTACATTTTTGTAATGGGTATTGGGGAATCTCCTTAAGCCCCATAAGCAAAAATAAAATAAAATAAAATCCTAGAGATCCCCCACAAAAAACATAGGCTTCTTCTTAACATATTTTTCTTTTTTCTTTGCTGTTTGGAACTTAGGAGGGGCTCTCAGGGGTGGCTAAAATGACAAGGGGCCGCATGTGGCCCATTTGCCCATACCTGCTTTAAGCCAAGGTAATAAACATTGTGGGATGTTCTCTTCTGAATGTAAAGAGCATGAACAGAGACAGCAGTACTACATTAAAGTGGCCCCTGCTTGTGGATTTTTCTTGGAAAACTCACTTTTTTCTGATTAGCTGAAGACAAACTCCTAAAAAGCTTCCGCCCTTGCTTTCCAGCATTCCAAATGGTGAAACCGGTCCAGTGATTGAGAATTCTTTCTTCCAGAAACAAGACACGGTGTGTCCATATGGTGCTCCTGAAAGATTGAAAGGGGGGGGGGAGAAACAGAAGTGAGACAGCAAGCCTCAACTTTTCTTAGGCACAGCACATTCCTAAGAGACATGCAAAGAAATCACGATAGCAACACTGCTGGAGGAGATTAAAACCGTCACTGGGAAAACAGTTTCCTGTGCTAATATTAAACTTCTCAACTCTGAGAGGAAAAAACTCTCAAAATGTGGGCATCAAGACACTTTCAGTCCATGAGAGTCAAACCCAGGTTGTGTTAACACCGACTGCTCTGGCACAGAGGATGGCCTCAAGAGAAATCAGAAACATGGAAGGCAAGTAGCTATGCTAGTCTGTGGTAGCAGAAACCGGACTAGCAGAGTCACTCTGGTTCTGTGCAGTGCCTGGATGTAGGGGAAGATAAAAAAAAAGGTAGGGATCCACTTTTAGCACTTAGATTAGGCATCCCTCAGTCTCGAAAGACTATGGTTTCGTGCTCTGTATGGAGGACTCGGAACAGCGTCTAGTGTGGCTGAGGAGGCCAATTAGAGAGGGAAAATCCCTTTCACACTGAAGACAAATCCAATCTGTCCCCTGTCCAGCTCCCTAATTTTGCTGCTTTCGGGACTGCCTCTTTGCCTTAGCCTGCTGGACAAGTGTCTCTTCAAATTGGGAGAGGCTGTGATGCACCACCTGCCTCCAGGCTGAACGCTCAGATGTCAGGGTTTCCCATCTGCTGAGATCCATTCCTAAGGCCTTCAACTGTCATTGGACAAACTGCCCACTTAATGGTTCAAACAACTCTGGATTCTTGCTTACTAGTGGAAGGGATTCCTGCTTGCCCCCATTCTGTAGGCCCTGAAAGGGGGGGAAAATGCATACACATAGCTGGTGGCAAGGTGAGCTGACCCGTTATGGGCCCAACAAGACTATGAATTTTGTCAAGAGCTTCTAGAAGCCATACTGGCTTTCAGTTCACCTTCCTCATTGCCAGTGCTATGGGAATATTTGGGAAAAATTGGCATCAATGCCCATTCAACAGTTAGGGCAGCTTGAAAACATGTAGGGCTCAAGGGGTGAAACTCATGTGGGAACACGGTAAGGCTTGCCCGTACACACATCTCCACTCCAAAGTCCTACAGAACACAGATCGAGCATGAAAAACTTCACAGATCACTCTAAGCACCTTCATCTATAGACTTGTTTTGAGGAAAGATGGCAAATGTTTTTTTGTTTTGCACAAAAATGTATTTTTCTTACATCTTTACAATTGTAAAAGACATTTTTACAGAAAATGCAAGAGGATTTTATGTGAAATACAAGGATCTTTGCTACAAAAAAAACAATGTTTTGTGCAAAGTCAGCAGTATATGCTAGAATTGTTGAAAAAGCACTGGCATCTTCTCATGCAGGAAGTCATCGAAGTTCACAATTTGTTCAAGGTGGTTCTCAATATGTCATGATGCTCTTTTTCATTGAACAGAGGAAAAACTATGAATATTCATTACATCACTATCTATTGTGAAGATAACATGAAATTGGGAAGAGTCACATGCCTAGCAATTCCTGGCAGGCAGGAAAGGATAGGGAATAATAAAAATCTCATTCTGAAGAAATTCCCATGGCTGCAAGGCTACCCTCATGCAATATAGTGTGGATACTAATTGCATTTCCTGAAACGGCTGATACATGTGAGGTAGAAAGGTACATGTTCAGATGTTAAGATTATGTTAAAATTAAGAGACAACCAAGTCAAAAGACAGGCCTTCTTTTTTAAAATCAAGTTTGGTACAAGTTGTATTTCGGAAGGCTTACTGATTATTCCACAGGCACCTGGAAGATGGTACACTATGAGTTCCTCTTACTCTCTGCCTGCAGGTAAACTATTAATCAGATTTCAGAAACTCAATGTTATTAGAAGTTGAAACACACAGAAACAGGTGCTTCAGTGATAGTAACTAGATAACATTTGAACACATTCTAGAGCTAGGATTTTTCGATTTCATAAAACTAGTGAAGGGCCATACACAATAACAGCCACTCTTATGGCACAAATGAGACACTACACATAATTTGTATATTTCTGCAAATTTCACAATTTCAGGAGCTATGACTTTTTACCAACAGTTTCAGAGTGTCAAACACCATCTCTAGTCTAGCAATCAATACCAGAAGCTTCTGATCATCTTCTCAGCTCTCTTGCTGCACAACACATGTATGTATGTATGTATGTATGTATGTATGTATGTATGTATGTATGTATGTATGTATGTATGTATGTATGTATGTATGTATGTATGTATGTANTATGTATGTATGTATGTATGTATGTATGTATGTATGTATGTATGTATGTATGTATGTATGTATTTAATATATTGAGCTACACTTTGGACTAGACAGAAGACCACACTGTGCCAGTCATTTTGAGGTGGGGAGAATGTATGATAGCTTTACTTGATGCTGTGGAGTGAGTGAGAAGGATTTTCTATGTTTTCTTACATTTCAGAGGTATTATTGTGAAACTGTCAATTCAAAACTCTTGATCAGCCTATAATGGACGGATGTGTCATAACAATGTATGTAAATTAGTCCAAAAGCATTTTTGACCTTTTTAAAAGAGACAGAACTTCAATTTCTTTTAAAAACAACAACAAACCCAAAACTCAAATATACCATGAATGAAACCCTTAAAAATAGAAGCCAAGGAAGAGGTTGTAATGGAAAGTCAACCGATAAAGTTGTAAACTTGACAGTACTGCTAAAATGGGAACTTTATAGCAAAGGCAGCAGCAAGCTGGCAGATGTCTTTTTGTTCAAGTGCATTTTTATGTCTTTGCTCTCAAAATAAAATTCCAGTATGTCATTTATAAACATCAGATAACATAAGCAAGTACTAGACTCATTTGAAATGTTGATTCCACATGGCTCTGCAGTCGTAACAAGGAAACATCTGCAGAGGGAGAGAATAGGTTAGGATTAGCCATTTCAAGCACACTCAACAAATCCAGGACTGCCCCTCACCCTAGTTATTTCATCTCATTTGGTAAAATCAGTTCTGTTTGGCTTGAAGCAATTTATGTTCCTTTTGTTTAGATTTATTTCTCACCATCTTCAATGATATTTTTCTTAAATAATCATTCCCACCATAAAAGTAATATTTCAGAATGTTATTGCCTAGTACAACATGAAGAAAAATTGTCACAGCCAAGTATATTAGTTTACATTGAGGAATTTTTCACTGTATTTTAACTAGGTTTCCAAATTGTCCTTAAAAATAACCTAGGTAGATTGAATGGATTTCCAGTTAATTTAGTGCTCATGTACTGGACATTACGTTTGGCTCTAGGTTTTTACGTGTATTAAGTCATACAGACTTGGTGAACAATCTTTGACTTTTTCTTAATGAAGAATGAGGCATAAAATACTGAGGGAAACTTTACTTTCCTGTAAGATTGCCATGTTTTTACGTATCTATGGCATCATAACAAGAAGGTTATAAATTTTAGTTAGGTCTAAATAAATATTTGAATGAAAGTTCTTTTGCTTTAATTCAGCGGCTGAAATCCTGTTGTGCATTTATACAAAGTATGTAACTTTTGGAAGCAAATCGCTGTACATTAAGAAATCTCCGTATACATTACCTGTTGCATACAGAGACATAAAACCCCCTCTGCAACTGGTAAGATCTATGGAGATTTCATAATGTACAGCAATTTGTGTTTACAGGTTATGACACTCATGTGATATAAGGCCTATTGAAAGTGCTAATGATGGCATAACACTTATCTTGTAGAGAGGGTTGGAAGAATCTGCCCCACTGTGGCTTTGCAGGAACAAAGCCTGTGGATGGCAAGGGATTTTGAAGACCTTTGAGAGGAAGGGGGCCGTTAGAAGAAAAACCTTTCTTTTTCCTCCTCCTCTTCAACAGATGAATTATTGCCACATGGCTTCAGGGCAACAAAGGTGTGAAATCAACTTTCTTCAACTATTTAAATTCTGTTGCAACCACTTAAAACAGAGATGGACCTTCCATAAGCAGTAGCAGCAGCGGTAACAAGCTAGTGGTTGTTACTGAAAATGGCAGGTGCAAATCTTCACTTATTTCATTCTTGCAAATACGAACCAAAATGTTGACACCTTTCCTCCCAGTCAGGTAAGATTACTGGGGGTTAGTAAGTTGGTAAACTGTTTGCATTTCAGGACTCTTTTTTTGGAAACAAATATAATTTTTGTAACTTGTGCAGAAAGCTTGCATTTTGCACAAAATACAGAAGTTATTTAAAGCAAAATGCAAGGTTTATTTTGCAATATGGTGTTGTCGTTGCTATTGCTGCTGCTGCTCGTGAGACATATAACCCTGGTCTCTCCATTCTAATGGAGGAGCAAAAAAAATAAATCGATAGTCTTAGGAAACACTCTTAGCCTAATTTCAAGAGCCCTCTGAAAGGAATAAATTCACTCTGGCTGCTCACTGGGTTTAATGTAAAATGGGGAAGGAAGGAGCACAGGAGGAAACAAAAGAAGGGGTTTAGAAAACTGAAAGAAGTGATCACAACAACTGACTGTTGATTCACTGCTGGCTCTGGCTTACTAGATCACCTATGAACAATGTCCCCTCTAATTTTCTACCAATGCTGGGTGGGTGCCCCCCCATGCACGAGGTTCTGGCCATGACTGGAAGAATGGGCAGCAACATTGGCTGCAGGTGCACAGCACCAACGCAGCACTGCACGGCCACACACTCACGCAGTTTAGAGGCAACGTTGCCTGTTAGGCTCTAGGGCCACTGATACGAACTGGAATTAGGTGAAAAGGCTGCTCACTCAACCCAATACATCTGAATTTAAGGAACACAAAGGAATGATATCTTTTTAATGTAACAAATAAGAAAAAAATCATTGAAAAAAAGGGCAAACAATGATCAAGGGCCGGGAGCACCTTTCCTGCAAGGACGGAATAACTGGGTGGGAAGAAAACATACCTCTGAATGCCAGAAGTTGGAGGACAAAAGACAAGGGAAAGCTG